AAAAGTCATAAAATATGTTGGTTAGCGTAAGCGTCCTCTTTTTTGTGGCAGTAGATATTAAGGTACATAACATTCGATACGAGCAGCTAAATGAGTATAGCAACAGTTGACCATTGTAATTCTCGAGCGAGCTTTATAAACGTTTGAATGCCCACTGCAGTGTGCTAAAATATCAACTATCATCCAATGCAGCTCTAGATTCTGTCAAACCCTTATATGAAACTGGTCTTTAGGCGGGCCCAGACTAAATTAAAGGCGTTATCTACCAATGTTCGAGTTATTTAGAAAAGTGGTGATATAGAGGACTAAAATCTGATGCTGGCAATGTTAATCTCGAGAATTTCAACCCACATTTTAGGTACTACGTTTATTTATACAAAATTCCAATACTTACAGTTCAACTAATAGTGCACTCATGAAAAAATAATGGTGAAATCAAAAATCAATCTGTCATTCATGGATATGCTAATTACAAGCACGCACTCAGAAAAACAACTCCGCCTGTAGCTCTTCTAGAGTTACTGCCGGTCCCAAGCCCGGGTAAAGGAGGAGGGTTGGGCATGAGGTTAGCGACCCCATCCCGTAGAAAACCTAACTCACTAAAAAACGCTAACCAGAAAAAATAAAATAAAAAAATAAAATAATCAAAGCATCATTCAGAACAAAGAAGCAAGGGATCACAATGAACGTTCTCCAATGTTATGCACCAACCAATGATAGCAACGACGATGATAAACATCAGTTCTATGAAAGGCTGCAATCAATTATAGCAAAGTGCTCACGAAAGGACCTCACCATCGTTATGGGAGATCTAAATGCTAAAGTTGGAGTGGACAACACAGGATATGAAGATATAATTGGACGACATGGACTAGGAGAGAGAAATGAAAATGGGGAGAGACTTGCAAACCTATGTGCATTCAACAAATTGGTTATAGGCGGCACGATATTCCCACACAAACGCATACACAAAGCTACATGGATCTCGCCGGACCACACCACAGAGAAACAGACTGATCACATCTGTATCAACAAAAAATTCCGAAGGTCAATGGAAGATGTGAGAACCCGGAGAGGAGCTGACATAGCTTCAGATCACCACCTGGTTGTGGCCAAGATGAGACTGAAGCTAAAGAAAGACTGGACAACTGGACAAACAGCACTACAAAGGTTTAATACAGCCTTCCTTCGAGATATTGACAAGCTCCATGAATTCAAGATAACTCTCAACAACAGGTTCCAAGCTCTACAGGATCTACTGAATGAACAAGAAACTACTTTGGAGGACAACTGGAAAGGGATAAAAGAAGCACTAACTTCAACGTGTCAGGAGGTTCTTGGTCCTAAGAAGCATCATCACAAGGAATGGATCTCTATGGGAACCCTGGACAAAATTCAAAAAAGGAAGAACAAGAAACTAGCAATTAACAACAGCCGAACACGAGCAGAGAAAGTCAAAGCACAAGCAGACTACGCAGAAGCAAACAAGCAAGTGAAGAAAAGCATTAAAGGCGACAAGCAGAAATACATAGGAGAACTAGCAACGACGGTGGAAAAAGCTGCAAGAGAAGGGAATATGAAACAACTACATGATACAACGAAGAAATTAGCAGGGAGATATAGCAAACCAGAGAGACCAGTCAAAGACAAAGAAGGAAAGACAATCACTGAGATTCAAGAACAGAGGAAAAGATGGGCAGAATACTTCGAGGAACTGCTGAATAGACCAGCCCCATTGAATCCACCGAACATCGAAGCAGCCCACACTGACCTTCCAATAGATGTCACTCCACCAACGATCGATGAAGTCAAGATGGCCATCAGACAAATCAAAAGTGGAAAGGCGGCAGGACCTGACAATATACCAGCAGAAGCACTGAAGTCAGACAGTGAAATAACTGCAAATATGCTTGACCTTCTATTCAAAAAGATTTGGGAAGAGGAACAAGTGCCAACGGACTGGAAAGAAGAATATCTCATCAAGATACAATAGAAAGGAGATCTGAGCAAATGTGAGAACTACAGAGGCATCAGTTTATTATCAGTACCAGGAAAAGTTTTCAACAGAGTGCTGCTGAATCTGATGAAAGGCGCAGTAGACGCCGAACTTAGGGATCATCAGGCTGGATTCCGTAAGGATCGGTCGTGGACAGACCAGATTGCGACACTACGGATCATCGTTGAACAATCAGTTGAGTGGAACTCATCACTATACGTCAACTTTATTGACTATGAGAAGGCGTTTGACAGCGTGGATAGGAGAACATTGTGGAAACTTCTTCGACACTATGGAGTTCCTCAGAAGATCGTCAACATTATCCAAAACTCATACGATGGATTACAGTGCAAAGTGGTGCATGGAGGACAGCTGACAGATGCATTTCCAGTAAGGACCGGAGTCAGACAAGGCTGTCTACTCTCCCCATTTCTCTTCCTTCTAGTGATTGACTGGATTATGAAGAATTCGACATCTGAGGGGAAATACGGAATACAATGGACTTCTCAGAATCAATTAGATGATTTGTACTTCGCAGATGACCTAGCCCTCCTCTCTCATACACACGACCAAATGCAGATGAAGACAGCAAATGTAGCAGCAGCCTCCGCATCGATAGGCCTCCACATTCACAAAGGGAAAAGCAAGATTCTCAAATGCAACACGGAGAACACCAATCCAATCACACTTGATGGCGAAACTGTGGAAGAGGTGGAAACATTCAAGTACCTGGGGAGCATCGTTGATAAACAAGGAGGATCGGGTGCAGATGTAAAGGCGAGGGTTGGAAAAGCAAGGGCAGCATTTCTACAATTGAACAACATATGGAACTCTAAACAACTATCAACTAACTTCAAAGTAAGAATCTTTAATACGAACGTCAAGACAGTCCTACTGTATGGAGCTGAAACGTGGAGAACTACTACGACCATCATCAGGAAGGTACAAGTATTTATAAACAATTGTCTACGCAAAATACTCAACATCCACTGGCCGGATACTATCAGCAACAGCGTTTTATGGGAGAGGACAAACCAGCTTCCAGCTGAAAAGGAAATTAGGAAAAGACGTTGGAAGTGGATCGGACATACATTGAGGAAATCACCAATGTGCATCACGACTCAATCCCTAACTTGGAATCCGGAAGGGAAGCGGAAAAGAGGAAGGCCAAAGAACACACTACGCCGGGAAATAGAAGCCGATATGAAAAGGCTGAATAGCACCTGGAAAGAACTGGAAAGGAAGGCTCAGGACAGTGTTGGATGGAGAATGCTGGTGAGCGGCCTATGCTCCTCGACGAGGGGTAACAGGCGTAAGTAAGTAAGTAAGTAACAATGAGCAACGATGGCGTGAAGGGAAACACAAATGCAGTCTTATATTGAAAAGTAGTTCAGGACAATATTTCCGAGAGGTGGGGAGCGACCTAAAAATTTTTAACAGAAGTATTGCAATCAAAGAAAGACTGCGGACAATAAGGCAGAAAATGGAACGGAGGAGGTTATCTTTGAAGGTGCCATAAGTAATCGGAGTTTGACAACGCCTTGACACGTAGAACCTACATCATCGATGTATACCACCCGGTCAAATCATAAGGGATCTCAAGAAATATTTGGGAAACCATCGATGTGTCGAGAAAAGTTTGATCTAGGATGCTTAGCAGTTGCAATGGATGCGTAACACGGGTTTCACACACGTGATCTGGTGTGGATTCGTGACGGAAAGCTTTTGGCTAGTGTGTTCAGTAAAACTAATGATGTCAGCATAAATTTCAAAGGATCACATATCCAAATAAGAACGTTCTTCTAAATCTAAACGAATAGATACACATTTTTGGGCTCCGAGTTGGTGTGAGACATTAGGGATGAAGAAAGTACTTCAAAAATCTCAGTGAGTGAAATTGAAGTATTTTCATTGGCTGGGATTTAACAAATACATTTTTCCTCGTTAATGACTTGTAGAGCTATTTGTGTTGGTGATTTGTTTACCGACATATGTTTATTTAAACGTTAACAGCGATGTAGTTATTAGTTCGTCATAAGTGAAATGTTCTTGCATTTAAATCAAACAAATAACGTGTACTGGAAAGGAACGATCGTGCAAACAACGTCGTACAAAAGCGGAGATTTGATATTTTATTGCGTTTATAGAAATTTGTGGATTAGCAATATAGATGACCTATGTCAAATGACTGTGGGCCTATTCCAGTTAGTTGGTAATGGTGTGACCAACAGTTAACGTCAAAGTCACACCTCGCGGTCAACAACCAACATAGGATTACCACTTCGTCACACCAGGGTACCATGGCTGTTTTAAAAACATCATCACACAAAGGACGTTGTTACATAAATGTGTTGGTACAAGTAGGTACAAAGGAGAAGTTGTGAGCACCATCCTATGAACCAATCCATGGCGTGCAATTGGTTGATGCGTGTTGGTTGCTCTTAATTTTTTACGGGGATCGACGAACTACTCCACATTCCGTGACCCAACTGTCAGATGATTTAATTAGGGCTCAGTGACATTTCACTGGTCCTACATATTATCAAGTCTACGCGCCAATGTAAGATAAAGAGATAACTAGGGCATTGTGTATAGTACGGTGATGAATGAATTTTAACCTATAAAATAAATTATGAAGACTGAGGACAGTTTGTAAATTAGAGAGAAAGCAAAGAACAGATGATATCTCCGTAATCTATCAGTTTACCCGGTACGACCAAATCCTATAAACTGTTAGTGAAAAAATTATATCTGCTTCTTTTGTCGTCTTTTTTGAAGTAGGACTTGATACATATAGCAGCATATTAGAAAAGGACCAAGGCAGGGCTCTGACTTTCATTTTCAAAGCGAAGAATGTGAATCCAAATACTGTAAGTGGAAAAAAGTAGTAAGCTGCTTTACGATCATAAGAATTGAAACTCTGACTTTTAGCCGAAAACAAGTACAAAATATTTTATGGTGATTAACATCGAAATATTTCTTTGTTAGTAAGTATCTTAGTTTTGTTTGAAGTGTCATCAAGGTTACCTGGACCCTCCCGGCCTATCAGCTGTTTCCTAGTTTTCATCGAAACAGCTGATTGTCATTCGTGGCGTGTAGCTTATCAATTAAGCGTAACAAACTAGAGATATAAAAGATGCATGAATTGTGGTTCTCAACTCTTATTTACAAGAACAAAGCAATAGCTTTGACTTAGGACGTCTGGAACAACCTCTGTGAATACATGCAGAGCTATTTTATTAAATATCCAAATTAATACTAAATTCCGAAATTTTTAAGCATGATTGACAATTGTTCTCTAGAAAATACACTAAGTAGGTTTAGGTGTTAGAGTACCACTAATCTCCCAAGTCCCTAGCTCCAAGTTATGTGGTAGCAACCAAAGTCCTGGTGTCCTACAATGTATATGCCGGTTCATATTGTCTCAGCAATCTAAAATCTATAGAGGATTAGTCGAATATATAGATGGAACTAGCATCGGGGCACCTAGAACTAATAAGACTGAAGGGGATAAAGCGTTTACCAAGGCAGGTTGCTTGCTCGATTAACTCATTCTTTTAGGATAATTGTTGTGATGACGTTCGGCGAAGCTCTCAGTGCGATAAATTGACGCTAACCATCGAAACACTTTTCGTCGGAGAAAACTGCTTAGAACACTGTGGAGATAACCAGCTTCCTGTCTATGTTATGGAACAATGGACAGCCCAAGTCCTCCCTCAGAAGTAATTCGACTATACTATTAATGTGCTCGCACCTTCTGTTTATTTTTTTTTGTTATTATTCTGTGCCTTGTGTATTTAGAAGGTTTTAATCTAAGGCAAGCTACCTGAATTTACTAGTCATAATATTTATTTTAAAATACGCTCAAATTTATTTCATCTGTTGTTTTATTTGAAACTTTCAGCTCTAAAAATAAGGGAATCTCTATTTCCGATTGTCAGATTGAGCTCTTGGACTACATACAGACGTCCCCTTTAATGACTGCAATCAAAGAGCCAGGTCGTCCTCGCAGATATAAGCTTACTCACAGGTTGGTGTCATCTTTCTAAATTTAGCAACTAGTTGTCTTTTTCAGTACTATTAACTCCATTCTTGTTTATCTTCTTTTACAGATCCTATGTATGCGATCGCATTTCACATGTGGGTGATTCTTTTCTTATGGATGCATCAGATATACTGAGTATGAACTGTTTAAGTGACAGGAATAAAAACAGTCAAGACGATGATCATGATGGTAGTTCAATTTCAAAAATAGTTCGTCAGATGGATGGTTGTGAAAGTCCTATTAAACGAGTTTTCACACCTGTTTGTATCAGTGAAAAGGAACTTTTACACATCAGTGTTGTAACATTAAAACACCTTCCTCAGCAGTTTCTTGGTTGCCCACTTTGCCTAGATCCAACTTACTTAACAAATAAAGATAACTTCACTATGCTTAGTCGTGCTAGATGTTATTCACCTGAGACTTTTGTAGACTTGGATGTTTGTAAAAAGAACTCTGCACTTGTTCCGCATATAACTTACGGGAAGCCCAATGTTCATCCACCAAACTTTCTTAACTTACCTAAATGCTCTTCAAACGAAGTTGTCAGAAGTCCTATTGTTGTCATGGCAGATACAGAAGAAAGGTTTATGCAATCTACTTTTGACAACCCTTTTTACAACATCCTACGACCCTGCTCTTCTTGGGATTGCACCGAATCAGGTCACTCGACTTTAACAAAAAAGTCATCTCGTTTAACTGACTCCAACAGAATATACCAGATTCCTCTAGAGTCACCTCCCCGTAAACAGCAACGTATCAGTTGTTACGCTCATGAACTTACTTCCGAAACAAAAGATTCAGATGACTCCAATGAACTACCCTCTTCCGTCACCCCTACCATAAACAAAACTCCAGGAGTCCAACGTGAAGGCTGTATTAACAAAGTGATTGCAGAATTCACACTACTAAATGTTGAGCGTGACCTAATTATGAACTCAGTTGACGATTCAAATCTCGGTTCAGCATGTATACCACCTGTTAATGCGTGTTTTTCTTCCTTCGATGTGCACAGAGACTCCATACAATGTAACCAACTCAGTTATAGTACGTCTAAAAAGCGTGACCACGCATCTGAATCCCAGCTAAGCACAGATTCAGAGAATTCAGTACTATTAACATCACCGAGTGCTAGTTCTCAACCGGTGCCTAGACTAAGCAGGAGACGAAACGCTACTTCCGCTTCCGTCTGGCCTTCATCATCATTTCATAACGACGGCACTCCTTTCTTCAACCGCCGTACTGGATTGCCTTTACAATCATCTCCGGTAAGTCTGGTCATTTGAATTTCTATGTTTTTTCGGAACTTTGGTAACACGATTTTCTCCCACTTATTTGGCAGGTTTACATAAAAATATTAGTCTACAACTTCCGTATATGATGTATGAAAGTAGATATGTTTAGGTGACAAGTGTCCGATTTGAAGCATTCCAACTTGATGTGACTCTTAAGTAAACAAAAGTAATAGTAGACCCAGATCTTGACAATATGAGTGTTCGGAAGGGTTGTTAATCTCGATTGTCCTACTAAACATACTATACGTATCATCTTATTCATTTCGAAGTTATTGTCAATTCTTTTAGAGTTTATTTTACATATCAGTCTACCGTTATTACTATTCTGACGATCATCTGAGGATTATTACAATTTTAAACGTTATATCACCTGAGTTCATTCGGTAGTTTCATGATCCCCCATAGTACCGATTGTGCTTTTTAGTATATATCTGCATATTTGCGCTGTATTCAACGTGCCTAAATAACTATAATAATGCGAAATATTTGTAGCATGTCGCCATTGTTTTCCTTTCGTTAGAGTAATTATTTTAATGTTGTAACTATGTTGCTTTCAAGAGATATAATTCAACATGGTACCAAACTGGCCTACAAGCTATTCAATGTTAAAGGTTTGTATGGAATTCATTCATCTTTTTTCTCTAACAGCTAAATAGTCATCTTTTCAGTTGACCGATCCCGATTCTGTGGTCTTCCTCTTCTCCTTTGGCCTTGAGGATTCCATGTGAGAGCTTGCCTTGTGATGCAGTTGGGTTCTTTCCTCAATGTGTGTCCTATCCACTTCCAGCGATTCTTCCTGATTTCTTCCTCCACTGTAATCTGGTTTGTTGTCTCCCACAGTAGGTTGTTGCTGATAGTGTCTGTCCAACGGATCCGGAGTATTTTGCGTAAACAACTGTTAATGAACACTTGTATCTTCTGGATGATGGCTTTCGTAGTTCTCCAAGTCTGAAAATTCTGATCTTGTTGTTGATTGACAATTGTTTTTAGTTCCAGATGTTCTTCAGTTGTAAGTATGCTGCACTTGCTTTCCAATCCTTGCCCTTACATTTGCATCAGATCCACCGTGTTCATCAATGATGCTGCCCAGATATGTAAAGGTTTCTACATCCTTCAAAGCTTCTCCATCAAGTGTAATTGGATTGGTGCATGCTGTGTTGTATCGGAGAATCTTGCTTTTCTCTTTGTGCGCGTTGAGACCTACTGCTTCTGAGGATGCTGCTACACTGTTCGTCTTCTCCAACATCTGTTGTTGAGTGTTCGATAAAAAAGCCAGGTCATCTGCGAAGTCTAGATCGTCTAACTGAATCCTAGATGTCCACTGTATCCCGTACTTCCTCCTAGATGTTGACGTCTTCATAATGCAGTCGATCACCAGGAGAAAGAGTAAGCAAGCTTTCCTGATACCGGTCTTTACTTCGAACGAGTGAGTGGGCTGTCTATCATCAATGGCAGTAAGAAAGATTAGACCAAGGCAGTATGATTCGAAAGGAAAAACTGGACTCACGGAATCAAAAGTATGAGACTATTTTAAAACTCAACATGTAAAAGAAGAATATCAGTGAATGCAACTACTTCATTCTAACCAGTTCCAAACTGTGTCATTCAACCTTTTCTACCACTGATCATAGTGTTCATAAATACACCAAGCAAGTAGTTTACACGTACCAACACAGCTCAATCCAACAGTCAATAACCTTATGGAATGAAGTGATTTTATAACAGAGCTACTTTCCCTTAACTTTCTTTCAGCCCACCTATACATTAAGAACATATCATATTGTCGAGGTAGGAGAAGGTTGAGCATACGTAATACATGTTCCAACAACCCCAGTTGATAAATTAATCTCCGTAATGTTATCTCAGTATGTAATATTCATAGATATTTCGTCAAACTAAGTAGGTTTGGACTGTTCTTAAATTCAAATCACCCTCAAAACAAATTTTTCACCTATCAGTAGTAACGTTTCTTATCACTAAGTCCCATTCAAATATGAATTATTGTAAATTTGAAGTTTAATTATATGATTTAACCTGATCTAATAAATGAAGGTATGTTCTTTCTAAGCTGGTTGGTAAAGCTTCCATATATCTTATACATTTCTTTCGAAAAACAAATGATGATTTAAAGTTGGGATCGTTGAGTATCTAGAAGTTGAGTTTATGAATCATTGATTAATTACTTCGTGAAGCGATGATATAATGATCAAAATGTTTGACTTTTAACAGCTAGATCATAGTTTTGAACTCTGTCCCACCTTTGAACTGGGTAACTCAGTCATTCAGTCAGTTAGTTACAACGTAGGACCAGCCACATTTATGCATCGGTCCAAGTTGCCATACCTCGTTAGCACAACAAGATAAACACCGAATTGATAGAAATAGTGGTAGTAGTATATAAAAGAAAGGTTGTATATAAGGATATAGTATAGGAAGGAAGAAAGTTATGAAGCAATTTTAATCTCAAGGTTTAAGGGTAGACAGAAAGTGTATACACATATGTCATTGTGATCGATTCTCAGCCATATAATCCACAGTCTCCAACCATTGGTCACGATAGTCACGCGGACCCTAACCAAGTAGTCTGCATCTACCAACATGGCTTAGACTAAAAATTAGTGACTTCAAGCACTGATGCCATGTTTTGGTTTGGCCACCCCTAACTCCCTTCCAACCCTTGTCAATACTAGTCAGCGTTGTGCGTCTTGGTAATCGGTGTTCAGGCATATGTAACACATGACCCAACCATCTCAGTCGATAAACATTCACAACCTCACCAACTGTGAGGTGAAGCAGTTGGGTGATTTCCTCAAAGTGTGTCCTATGCACTTCCAGCTCTTCTTCCTGATTTCTTCCTCCACTGAAATCTGGTTGGATGAACGTATCCAATATATATATGGTACTTTCATTTGCTATCAGTTAGGTTAAGTAACTTATAGATCATTCCATTAGTGTTCAATGTCTTATAAACTCTTATGGCTATTACCTGTGACTTATTCAAAAGCACAAAAGTTGATGTTGTTAATACAATCTGAAAGTGTAATGGTGTACCTAGATACCTAGGAATCAGATAAAATCTCTTTGTGAATCAGTTCATCTGACCGAGTAGCACAGCTATTTCTGCTAACTATTGTTTATTTCATGACTATTGAATCTAGGGCAACCTAATTGATACGTTCAAAAAGGTATTTTGAGTTCTGAGACACTCCATGATACAATCCAGATGACATACCCCTTAATTTTTCTTAGAAATTGAGGTAACAGTTTGGATTTGATGCTTTTGATGTGTCAAATGAATCTACTATTTGTATAACAAAAGCCAGAGAAATGTATCGATCTAAGCTACCTTTCTAAGCTATCATCATCATCATTCCAGCTGAATCCTGAAAATAAAGTGCTTCAGTTAGAGATACTCTATTTCGAATATCAGAAACCCAAGATCTCTTATCTGAAGATATTTAACAACTATCTGTGTCCAACCATTGTTTTTTACTAAGTTGGTTTTCTACGGGATGGGGTCGCTAACCCCATGCCTAACCCTCCTCATTTACCCGAGCTTGGGACCGGCAGTAGCCCTCTGGAGGAGCTACATTTGATTAATCATTTTGCCAATATTTTGAAATGTATATTGTTTCTCTTATATTTATTAGGTTCCTCTCAAAAGAAGTACAAGTGGAAAGTTTGATTTCGATTTATCATTGAATCGCATGAAAGCATCTAGAAGGTAAAATTTCAAATTGTATATCTTTGTTTTAGTTTTATCATAATTATAGTGTTCTACATTGCAGCGTGATCAGTAGAATGTGGTCAGCATTAAAGGACTAAACATGCATGACATTAGTTAACACTCAGTGATCAATCAACTGTAGTTATGTAATTCGTATAAGACGTCAGTGACGTCCTGAATCTCTCTTTGGTGACACCGGTTTGAATCCTATGGGGGGCAAATCAGTCCTTTCAAGATTGCCGATACACCTTGCTGATAAGTTCCAATTAGTACAAAACCTCAGGAAAACAGGTTGTTTTTGTTTACTACTTCTAACTACCTACGTGTTCGGTATGGAATTCGATGGTGCTGTTGTATTAGCCTAAGTCTTAAAATAAAATGGTTGTGAAGTTCAACGAAGTCTGTTATAGAGATATCAACTCACTATAGACAACTTGTGAACGGTTGCTCAACTTCGTGGATCAGTTGAAGTTAGACATTAACACCGCTGAATGCCGACCGGCTCAGTGGTCTATCGGTTAAGTGCTCCGGCGCGAAGCTGGTAGATCCTGGGTTCGAATCTCGCTCGCGAGGCGGGATCGTGGATACCCACTTCTGGGTAGTCCCATAATAGAACGAAACGGCCTTTGTCCAGTGCTTCCAGGTTTTCCATGGTGGTCTAGCTTCAATTGACTCATGATTTCAACTATGAAGATGGTTGTGATTATTTGATCATAGGTTTTTTATTTATTTATTTAAACACATAAATATTGGTACAAGAAAGCACCAGATAAATATGCGCCTCACAAGTCTCATTCGATTTGTGTGAGGGCTGTGATACTGCCCAGGTTCCCAGACTGAAGCAGGTGGTTTTCTTAGGAGGCCACACCCGGAGCCCTTGACCTAAAGGTCTAGTCCACAAGGCGATGGAGCATCGTGAGGAGATGCAGTCCCATGGTAGTCGGTGACCAACAATAGGTTCATACGCCATTCATTCCTTCAGGATACTGGAGCCCATGTGCACCATTGGTTTGGAATGAGGGTTTTCCAACTCCCCTAGGTGGAAGCGCCGTGTACACCATCCCGGTTAAAGCGTCGGACATTCACTTTTCGTCCTCACTTTTGTGAACAACACCCCCACCACGAGGATTCAGTGAGTAGGACTTCCCTGGCAGAGGCTATATATTCGCGTGGCCATATGAACGCATTTCGAGAGGGAGAGCAGACTCTCCCCACTCTCGGCCGTACCAGGGCATTTGGGGGCTTTGATCATAGGTGGTGTTTTACTGACTAGAATTAATAGTGGTGAAGAAGTTTTAGATGGTTTAAATGAATGAATAAAGGGTTAATTAATAAAATTGAATTATCCGATGTTTCCGAACGTGTGTCAGCTGGACATGAAACTGGGTTATTGACTCGAATTAATCCCTCAAATAAATTAATATCAAAGATATGATCATTTTCGAGCTAGACCACCATGGAAAGCCTGGATGCACTGTACGGCTGTTTCGTCCTAGTATGGGACTCCTCGTCAGTGCACATCCACTATCCTGCCCATCTGTCTCTCCTGTTAAACAGGATTGATCCCGCTCGTGGGATCGTAAACGCACACTGATGAGGAGTCCTATACTAGGACGAAGCGGCTGTACAGTGCTTCCAGGCTTTCCATGATGATCTAGATTTAACTGACTTATGAATTAAACTAATAAATTACCAAATAAATATGTTCAAATGTTATAAACTATTGGAGGAAATCAGCTCTGTAGGTTACTAACTGTTAGGCTCAACTCTTTTTCATTTAATCGGCTGTTTCCAAAGGATTGCTTGGATATGATGAAATCACGAAGTTAAAGTACTAATGAAGTTATACGTAGATATTAGACGAAAATAATTTACATTGATATAGATGGTTGGGATATGTGTGTTATTTGTTGTTTATACAAAATTTATTTTATTGATTTAGACACATATATATTGGTACAAGGGAGCACCAGATAAATATGCGCCTCACAAATCATATTTGATTTGTGCGAGGGATGTAATACTGCCCAGATGTCCAAACCGAAGCAGGTGGTTTTCTTAGGGGCCCACACCCGGAGTCTTTGACCTAAAGATCTGATCCACAAGGCAGGGGAGCATCATGAGGAGATGCAGTCCCATGGTAGCCGGTGACCATCGATTGATTCATACGCCATTTGTTCCATCAGGATACTGGAGACCATGTGTACCATTGGTTTGGAATGAGGGTTTTCCAACTCCCCTAGGTGGAAGCGCCGTGTACACCATCCCGGTTAAAGCGCCGGACATTCACTTTTCGTCCTTACAATTTCACAAACAACAGTAATGCCACGAGAAGGTTGTAAGTAGGACTTCCCTGTCAGTGGTTTGTATACATTTGGCCACATGAGAGTATTTTGAGAGGGAGATCGGACTCTCCTCACTCTCGGCCATACCAGGGTATTTGGGGGCGGGTAGTATCAGATAATGAATTCTCTTGAAATTGTCTATTTAAAATTGTACAGAATATAACCAACCATCACATTCAATTACTGACCTGTTTTGTATTCGCCTTTTTTTTCATATCGATTTTGTCAACTATCCCTTTATCAGCTCTATTTGTATGGTATACAATCATAATTTACAAAACTCCAGTGATATCAATACAGATCATAGTAAAGAACCTTCATCAGGGGTGGACGTATTAAAATCAGACAAGAAATTCAGTAGTGCAACTGTTCCTACTGATAATAATAGCAGTGATAATAATGAGAATAGTAGTCATAAATCAAATCAAACTATGACATCATTTCGTCGACGACCATCTAGTCTACGATTTACATCTCAATATCAAGAACAATCATATGAACGTAATACTATTAGTACATCTATTGCTGGTAGTTCTAATAATCGACATACATTAGCAGGTGCAAGACGACGTAATTATCCTATAGAAATGAATTCAACTGAATTAAGTTGTAGTGCACCACCATCTGGAGGTCGTAGTTTTCAACCGCATAAAAATATAACAAATCGTTTAGCAAATACAATGGCATGTACACCAGTACCACATGGTAGTTCACAGCATTTGTTAGTAAATTTTGAAGTAAGTTCCCTCTCTATTTCTTCTTTTTTTTCTTTAAATGAATGCTAACTTTAGTTCATTTATAGCGGCTAGTTCTATCCTCTCGTTGTTGTAGTTAAGATCTACAATTGATCAGTTTCTTTTTAGCATATGTGCAATCCTGTGAGGATCGCCTTAATGTTGTCATCAGCTCCGAAGCATCCATCTTTACTAGTTTTTCATCAAGTTTTGAAACAGGCTATCTCATCTTCATTTTGAAACTTGTTGACTATGTACAATACTGGGTGTACTTCTAGTGATGTATAGAGATTGAAGCATACGACGCCCAACAACTAAGTCCCATGTTCGAAACTCGTCCCATCCAATCCCATTCCAACACTGAAACACGCACTCATAGAGATACACAAAACATGCAATAGTTGAAATGATTTTTTCGAACATTTTGATTTGTGATAATGTAAGAATCTTAATCATCATAAGAAGGACCTGACGCACATGACATTGATCACCACCCGGTGATCAATCAGTTGTATATATAGCTCAGTCCTACATATGGTCAGTCGCAGCCCGGATAGACCAATGGTAGCGTCCCTGACTGTGAAGCTGGGTGACACGGGATTGAATCCATCAGGAAGCATCAGTCCCCTCAAGATTACAGATACATCTTGCTGATAAGTGCCAAGTAGCACAAAATCTAGGTCCAAGGTTTCCTATTGACTACCTCCACCCACCATCTCATCTCAGCATAGTGCATGCAATGTCGAGTCACATAGATTAGTGGCCACATTTCAAATTGGTCCATAGGATTCGACCTGCACTTGTAAAGATCATAACCATGTGAAATGATTCATACGTTGGAGATTGTGTGAACTGCACTCTCTCTCTCTCTCTCTATATATATATATATATATATATATATATTGGTACAGGGAAGCACCAGGTATACATGCGCCTCACAAATCTCATTTCATTTGTGTGAGGGTTGTGATACTGCCCAGGTGCCCAAACTGAAGCAGATGGTTTTCTTAGGGGGCCACACCCGGAGTCTCTGATCTGAAAGTCTAATCCACAAGGCAGTGGAGCATCGTGGGGGGATGCAGTCCCATGGTAGCCGGTCACCAACGATTGATTCATACGCCATTTGATCCTTCAGGATACCGGAGTCCATATGCACCATTCGTTTGTAATCAAAGTTTTTCGACTTCCCTAGGTGAACCCTTCGTGTACACTAACCCGGTGAAAGCACCGGACATTCATTTTTCATCCTCTCAATTCCGTAAACGACAGTAATGCAGCGAGAAGTTAGTGAATTGGACTTCCCTGTCAGTGTTTGTATGCAGGTGGCCATATGAGAGCACCTATTCCTCTACTCTCACTTTTTGTTTGCACCGCTACTGAAGTAAATTGTTGTAGTATCCTAGCAAAGTGAAATCCATTTTTAACCTTGCAATATAAAAGAAAGTTAGATAAAAACTAAGAATAATCAAATCAAGATGTGACCTTTACTTATCTTATCATTAAAAGATCGATTTAATCATGTTAGCATATCCGCAGATCTTCTGGTGGTTGGTGAGCGAAGTGATAGCTTACTGGTTGTGGCGTTCAACTTTCAGCTACTAAGTCCTAGGCTCGAACCCGTGTCTACTTATTTCGGTTTGAATAACCAAGTAGGATGACTAGATGTCACACTTAAAGTGCTATTTCATTCCTTCGTCTTTTTTTAATCTGCAAACGGAAATCGGCTTTATTATTATTCAATGATTGAATTCATGAGTCAATTAAGGCTAGACCACTACGGAGAACCTGGAAGCACTAGACAGCCATTTCGTCCAAGTATGGGACTCCTCATCAGTGCGCATCCACGATCTCACTCGAGAAATTCGAACCTGGGACCTATCGGTCTCGTGCTCGCGAACGCTTAACTTCTACTATTATTATTCCTTATCAATTTCCTCCTTATGTTTTTTTTCTGTTGATAACCTGGAAACATCACGAATGGACATTAGTCAGATGACTATTGTCAGTAAAAGTACAACAAAAGTGTAATAACTTTTTTGTTTATATCTGTCATTGTTTATTTTGACAAAAATGTGACTAAATTGTTTCTTGTCTCGTTCACTATTTACACAATAGTTGTATACAAAATATTAGTTATTATTATAACTGGGAAATGATCATATTATTGGCATCAGTCAGTTAGTCAGTAAGTCACAACGTAGAACTTTGTACGTACGTACATCAGTTCGAGGTGCCATACCACATTAGCACAGAGATGCAGTTGTCGATTCAAATACCATAGTGGTAGAATTAAAAAGAGTATAAGCATTAATATGAAATATTAGGGTTTGAAGATGTTATTGAAGGATTGTAATCTAGTCAAATAAATTGAGAAAGAGAAAAAGGATAAGGACATGAAGAATTCAGATTAGACTTTGGCAGAACACAAATAGTCGATGCACCTTCGCCATTGCAAACGATTTTGAGCCCTGTCATTCAAGGTCTCTAACCATCGATTGCTATCATACGAATCCCAACCAGGTAGTTTACACCTACCAACATGGTTCAGTCCAATTGTCAGTGACTTCATGGATTTGTGCCACGTTTTGGTCTGACCGCCCCTAGTTTTCTTCCAACCTACTTCTACATCATAAAACATCGCACATCGGTGCATTTGATGGTTAGGCATACGTAACACATGTCCCAGCCATCTCAACTGATGAAGTTTCACTACTTCATCAATCAATTTGCCATCCCTACCTAGTACTCGTTTCCTAACAACTGCATTACTTACCCGGTGGTTCCAGGATATACGAGCAATTCTTCAAAGACACCTATGAACGAACACTAGTAGCCTACGAATATCCTCTACTCTTATTGGCCATGTTTCACTGCCATAAAGTAGGACGGAGAGAACTGCTGCACAGTAAACCCGTCCTTTGGTTGCTAGACGGATATCTCGCCTACGCCATAAATGACGCAAATTGGTGAAAGCTAGACATATGAATATACCAATTTATTTATTATCGAAACTTTTAATTATGATTCCACATTTCATTTATTTCTTTCGAACTTGACTTTCTCAACTATAGCTGATATCTTGATGTAATGGTCGACCTTACACATTATGATGATTCAATCAAGATAACTTGACTGTAATAATTATTCCTCTAGGTCTTACCATGATATGTAGGTCAGTTGAAGCCCCCAAATGCCCTGGTACGGCCGAGAGTGGAGAGAGTCCGCTCTCCCTCTCCAAATGCTCTCATATGGCCACGCGTAATATAGCCTCTGTCAGGGAAGTCCTCTCGACCGACCGTTGCTGCTACCTTGACGTGGTGGTCGGGCTTGCCTATCGTGACGATCCAATCGAGCTATACTGGCTGGAACAATCGTTCCTCAAGGTCCTACCATGCCAGACAGGTCGGTTGAAGAGCGGTGAGACTAAAAGCAGCAATCCCAAGGTCCGAAGGCGAAGTCGTACTGCTGACTGTACAGAGGTGTGAAAGCAGTAAGGTGTTTCCTTCAGACAACCAGCATGACAGCGATGCTGCCTTCCCACAAGGAGGTGTGGGGTTAGAAAAGGTTGACCCTAAAAATGCACACCTCGCCTTATCCAACGGATTTCCGTCTCCGGCGGTAAGGACTTTTGAAGAACGGAGCTAACACGTCAAAAATCCCCAACAAAAAGGTTTTCCGTGACCGGCCTCAAGCAGATGTCCCTTGGTCACTGCGGTCACGCTCCCAGGTCGTTATGACCAACACTAATCCAACTTCTTTTTCAGGTCCCTCAAGAAATACCCTTCCACGGTGTGGGCAGCCGGGAAGTGATACTAGCCCTCATACCCTTAACTGCACACAAGACCAAGTTGGTCGCTTTCAAATCCTTCCTACACCTAATAACTCTGTTATCTCCCCGACTAACCCTTCCCACGTCCTTTTATCACGTCGCACCGCTAGGGCAAACGATTCGAGTACACAGAACGTTATTCCTGGTCTCCTGAAACCACGCTCTAAACTACATATAGGAACTTTTAATGTCCGAACATTGTGCCAAATAGGACAACAGGCTTCCTTAGCTAGGACTCTAGAATCTTACACCATCGATGTGTGCTGCGTCTCCGAAACGCGCATACAAGATCCGAGTAGTGTCATTCATTTGACCGCACCTAATCAAAATAAAGTTTCATCTCGATACACGCTTCTTGTATCTGGAAGCTCTGATGCTGCTTCCCGTGGCCTCGCTGGAGTAGGTATAGCATTAAGTCCTAGGGCAGAACTAGCTCTTTTAGACTGGATCCCAGTAGACAGTCGTCTATGCGCTGTCCGACTAAACGAATCAGTAAGGACCCGGAAAGATAGGGAAACTCGTCGTTGCCTCTTCGTCGTCTCTGCCTACTGTCCCACTGACTGCAGCTCAGACGATATAAAAGATGAGTTCTACAGGAAACTTTCTGACCTTCTCCGAGAAGCTAGGCGTTCTGATGTAGTAATAGTAGCAGGTGACTTTAATGCTCAAGTAGGTAAACTAAGTGAAAGGGAAAGACACCTGGGTGGATCTTATGGTGTCATGGCGAAAAGAACAGATAATGGCGACCGTCTGTTGCAGCTATGCTCAGATAACTGCCTATTTCTTGCAAATACTAACTTTAAGCATAAGGAAAAACATCTTTTGACCTGGCGACCCCCGAATTCGTCCCAACGTTGGACCCAATTAGATCACATCGCTATCAGCCACCGATGGAGGGGCTCGATAGAAGACTGTCGCTCATTCTGGGGCACATGTTTAGATTCAGATCATGCTCTAGTGCGAGCACGTATCTGTCTGTGTCTTACTGGTCGTAGGAAAGACACTGCAGGGAAGCCTCTAAGGGTTTTACTTAATGATAGGCAAGCTAAGAATATATTTCAGGAACAACTAGAAAAACAGTTAGGCAGCCATGTAAGTTGTGTCCACCCCGAGGCAGCGTGGAATGACATCCGAAAAGCTGTGGAAACAGCAGTGATATCCGTTAGTAAGGTAA